AGGTCCACAAAGTACTGCGCCTGCCACGAAATCTGCGCTTCAAGGTCCACTGAATGCAGCCACACCGACGGTGGAGCTGCTGGGATGGGCGAGTATCTTAGCAGGTACATCACCGACCCTTTTGCGTGGGAGAGGCTCTCGAAATTGGTTGTCCCTCTTGCGCGGAGGCTTGGTGCCAAAGTGCCTGTTCGCCGCACAATTGTTAAACTTACGTGTACAGATCTGAACGCATTCCTCAATGTCCTACAGCACTGGCAGGGTCGGTGCACCAAGTGTCGCTCCGTTCTTGGTCCCCAAACCCGGTTCATCTCGCGGTAGACCTGTGGCCTCAGCGTCTACACTGAGCGAGCAACAGGGTGGGTGGAATTCAAAACGGATGCAAGTACCGTTCGCAGACTTCATTCGCTGACCATCGGACTGGACTAGTTTAAGACTTAAGACCATCCATGGGACTGGAATAGCTGTAGACCTATATGCATGGATGGGTCATTGGATGACCTGGGGATGGTGGTCATTGACCACCTTGTCTGACAACGCGCAGGTCGTGCTGATTGGAAGGCCGGCCCTTCAGAAGAGGTCGACTATGTGGCTACTTGTTGTGTGACACCGGAGGCTGGTGCCATGGTGCAGATGGTTGTGCCACACTGAGCCCCCAAATCCTTGAATTGCAGCTGCAATTTGAGTCACACCCCTGAGGTCTGGGATGCCACTGCCAACTGCCCACAGTAACACACCAGCCACACCTGCCGATCAACACGCGCTATACGGCGCAACGACTCTTGGATATCAATGAGCCCGGAGGATGTCGAAGTCATTGTATTGAGTCAAAAAAAACCGGGCCAGCCACAAAAACAGGAATTGGAAGCAGTTGGGAGCCGTATACCCTTCCTAAACGATCCATGTAAGCAAATATTGTCTATACATTTGGTGGTTTTCATGTAGATTTTACTGCCCCATGGAGCCTTTCGGCTTCCTTTTGGTGCCCGAAACCGCAGTCGCTCTGGCAAAATCACGTCAAGGGGCTTGTCCGGAGAGAGGTTGATGACCTCGAAAAGGGGCACGGTCAAACACACGTGGCGCTGGTGTACAGGTTTTCCATGGCATGATAAGGCATTAAAAAGAGGGCTCACTTGAATTCAAAACTTTCATCCGCCTCCATTTTTGAACCAAACTCCGGACTCTAGCCATCCAAGCGATGCGAGTCTCCAGCTCATGTCTGGCTGAAACCGATCACATGCTGAAAAATGCTGAAAAGGGGTCAATGAAAGTCGAGAAAAAGGCTCAAGTTGAACCCTCCAAGAAGTGGTGGATCATGACTACCAGGCGGGCTGAGTCTGTTCCGTCAGTTCTGCAAAACAATTGAACTCCCAGCGTCTCCGGGCTCAGGCTCCGCCGGATGAGGGAAGAGCGGGATGCTGGCGACCCTAGCTACTCCCTTCGGTTTTCAGTGCAATGAGCACCACCTCACGAGCAACATTCATTCAGATGAATTTCGTAGCTAAAGTCTGACGAGCTGCGATTTCAGGATGCAGGGTTCCATGGGAGACAACCCACAACGTGAGGTGTACAGTTGAGTTGCTCTCACGCGCAATTTAGTCCCTCTGAACTTGCTGGCTTTCCCCCTTGCTGGTATACCCAATCCGCATTGAATAGGGTGAACTTACATTGGATGTGTTAGACAAATGCGCAGCACACGCCAAACCTTGTTGGAAAACGTATGCATCTATCGATTTGAGGGCGAAAAGGTGCCTCTGCACGCGAGAGCCTATACCAACTAAAACCCAAATCGACAGAAAGCCCGAAGCGCGAGGCATCGCCCGTCTAAGACATGAGACAGGTGGTGTCGCTCAAGCTCGATGGCACCATCAGAAATACTGGAGAAACACCAGTGGTGCTTGGAGAAACACCCTGGAAGAGAGCCACATGGACCCTGAAAACCACATGCTTTCGTAAAAACACCCCAGCTTCCACCGCCTTCTCGTCCGTGCTCCATGTGAGTTGACATGGTGCCCGGTCTCTTCACGCCTTGACTCGACCTTCCGACCGACCGGTCGAACCGGTCCCTCCGGCCCGAGGGACGCAATTGCTGATGACGCAGTTCACCACGCCGTCGCCTGGGACGGCGGAAACGGTGGTGGGGTCCGGGCGCCCCGGAACGGCGGAAAGGCCGCTTCCGGGAGCATGACCAGGTGCGGGTGACATCCAAATTGGATGACCCCTGAAAGACCAAGCTGGAGAGTCTGAAAAAGGGCCTAAGGCCCTGAGTTGGGGAGCTTCCTTTAACTTCAGTAAGATCCCAAATATCCCAAAGTCGGGTTGAATTTGACTAGATCGTCAGGCTTCCCCTGCAATACGCAACAAAAGGACTCTGCAAGACATAAAGCATATTGCAACAAAAAAGCCACAGTATCATATAGTACCCTCTCGTTCCCACCGTTCGAGGGACGGTGACCATGGTTCACCACGCGTGGGAAGCTCACCTCTCGTGCCCCTCGCCCAAGCTCGCTGAGCAGCTCGCCTACGGGCAAGTGCTCGATTTCACCCAGCCGGAAGGACCTCGGGGCGGACCGGTGTGGTGGCAGACCGGGCGCTCTCGCTGTGAGGTGAGTGGGCTTCTCATGCAGGAAATGAGGCGGTTCATCTAACAAATTGGTGCTCAAAAATCGCGAACACGTGTGAACACCAGGTTCTTTGATGGTAGTAGGTGGTCAGCTTTAATCCTTATATACAGGTCGAAGGCACACAGCTGTTGCATGCATGTTTTTTGTTTTCTCCAAAGTGCAGGTCTGGTTTTGATCAGTGGAGGATTTGAGAGAACCAGTCAGAATGGTCGCTGACTTGGGTGGAACCGCACACAAACAACACATGCTGAGCTAAGGTCAAGTTGGTTGACTGACTTGTGCTTAGCTAGGAATGAGGGAATGGGTATCTACAGGGAGAGTTCATTCCCTCATTCCCTACCAAGCATCAGTCTGTTAAACATGATGTTTTCCCATCGAGATACGCGTTTGGTGAATTCCACAGCACCACATGACCCACCTTTTCATTCCACATGACCCACCTTTTCACTCGCCGCGACGGAAAGCAGAACGGCGGCGTCACCTTCGTGACAGAAAGCCATTGAGCTGAACTCACGTCCAAGGTGGAGAAGCTACTCATCTTCGAGGGTCATGGCGCTGAGTGTATACTGTACCGGATTGTCTTACATATGATACGCCAATTCCTCCCACGCAACCATGAAACTGGCCTTCAAGTAGAACAGACCGATCTCAAAAATACTCATGATACTAATCTATAGACTGAGCTGACGAACCCTAAAAATGAAGACAATTTGCAATAAAAGGCTCTGCAGTAAACTCTGGACACCCCATTTCGAGGCCAAGGTTTTCAAGGATACCAACGAGTTGTTGTGTATTTTTTTTTGGGGGGGGGCAGTCTATAAACAGAATTAAATAAACACCACCCCCCCTCATAAACCAATTTCAGTCAGTCACTGAGTGAGTCAAGGCCTCTCCTCTTAGCTATTCCACCCTCCTCTTGTCTATAAACGTGGATATCTGTCGGAGGTCGAGCTTGCTCAAACCCCAGCCCTCGCAGTACTTAGCACCAGTTCAACCATGAGTGGCCTCCCGTCTTCATGCCGGCCAATGCTTGTAACACCTGAACAATGGATATTTTATACACAGTACAATGTCTGGAATCATTATATACTACCCAAACACTCCATGTATGGAATATATGCCTACATTGACCCCTCAAACCACTCCAATGTAGGCATATATGGCATACATGGAGCGTTTGGGATATAATATATATATATATAGATATACCTTAAGCCTCTTCAACGCAAGTTTACTATTCCGATACAAACCTCACGCCATGTTACACCGAGCTTGATGCTGTCCCAACGGGTGTATGGCCCGTGACCCTCCGACCAGCACTGGCAAGTCGGTCACCAGCCACACTGGTGCTCGGGTATTCCGCTGCCTTTCGGCGAACACATGGGTGAAGTGATCGGCGAGTGAGCCTTCCGCGGTCCAGAGTTAGCGAAGCCAAAGCATTCACCCTAGGAGCCCAATACTAAACCAAAATCCAAAGTCTTAAAGAGGATGTGTTCCTTTACTTTGGAGAGAAAGATCATCAAACTGAACTTCTATCTTAAGATATCTTAAGCCTTAAGCCAACAGCTTGGGAAGTGACACTCATTAGAAGATTTGCTGCTTGCTTGGCCAGCAAGGTGGACCTAAAGCTCCAAACAAAATGCCAAAACAAGTGTCCTTGAGAGGGGAAATATACAAAGTCTCCGTCTCCGCATCTCTCTCAAAGCCTTCTGATGCAGAGCGGCTCTATGCCTAGCATTCCTCGTCGGAAACCTCCCCAAAGCCCAGTCAACTCTCAGCATGCAAATGCAATCTTCAGTCTCCCCCAAATCTGGTCACCCCGGCCCTTGCTTGAACAATACACTTGAATCATGTCCCTGTCCTTATCTTCCATTTCTGATCCTTAAGTCCTGACTTGTTCAAGCCACCCACAGAAACCCCGAAATCATCATGGCAGTGGATGGCAACGTCCCGTATTTTCTGGGATGCCCCCCATTTTCCCAACTACCAAACAGCTGGAGTTCACTTCCTTCCTTCTTTCAGGCGGTGTACTGGTGCCTGTCTTAGCGGAATCGATTCACCCCCCCCACGTTCCCCGAGTCGCATCGAGATGGTTCGCGACGATGCTTCGCTGGTCAACTTCATGGCGGCGGGTGGGACTCTGGTCGTCCCCACCACCACGGTGGTCTAGATATGCGCTAAGCTCTCAAGCACCCAGGTGGGGAAGCGCGTGGTCTCCCTGAGCTTCTCCAGATCTGATCGGCTGGTCACACCACCTAGGGAGCGCGGTGGCGCAACGCGCGCGCTCGATGGAGCGTCCTTTTTGCTTGATTCATCTTGAGCCGAAGTTGTCCACCCGACATAGTTGAGTCTCTGAGCTCAGGGATGTAGAAGTTATATCCGCCGACCCCGGCCTATAGCCAAAGCCTAGGCGGGGAGGCGCCTGGGACACCGCAGGGTGAAGCAGTTGGCCAAGCCTAGCAGAACCCTTCCAAGCACTTCCAAAGGCCTGTCCGAGGCCTCGCCAGCTGGCAGGCCTGCTGCGGCCTCTCTGTGGCCTGTCCGAGGCCTGCCTCCTCTCTCGGCAGCTGGCAGGCCTGTTGCGGCCTCTCTGTGGCCTGTCCGAAGCCTGCCTCCTCTCTTCTTATGGGCTTCCGAAGGCGACGTTAGGCATTTTGGACCGCCTTCAAACGCTCCTCGGCAGCTGGCAGGCTGCCTCCTCTCTTCTTATATGGGCTTCCGAAGGCGACGTGAGGTATTTTGGACCGCCTTCAAGCTGGCAGGCCTGTTGCGGCCTCTCTGTGGCCTGTCCGAAGCCTGCCTCCTCTCTTCTTATGGGCTTGCGAAGGCGACGTTAGGCATTTTGGACCGCCTTCAAACCCTCCTCGGCAGCCGGCAGGCCTGTTGCGGCCTCTCTGTGGCCTGTCCGAAGCCTGCCTCCTCTCTTCTTATGGGCTTCCGAAGGCGACGTTAGGCATTTTGGACCGCCTTCAAACCCTCCTCGGCAGCTGGCAGGCCTGTTGCGGCCTCTCTGTGGCCTGTCCGAAAAGCCTGCCTCCTCTCTTCTTATGGGCGTCCGAAGGCGGCGTTAGGCATTTTGGACCGCCTTCGAACCCTCCTCGGCAGCGGGCAGGCCTGTTGCGGCCTCTCTGTGGCCTGTCCGAAGCCTGCCTCC